TATATGGAGTCCAACTTTTTTATCAGTTCCTCAGACATATTACAACGAAATTTCCTACTAACGTAATTTGCGTTCAAATCATAGATGTGTTGGTAGTGAATAGAGCAACTGAATCATTTTTTAATCAAGTCTCCAATTGCTGAGTTTGAGCAGCATCTTGATGCTTCAACAAACTATTCCGATGAATTCTTTGGCTCTAAGAAAACACTTTATTCATAATCATTTATGATTTCTCGTTTGTTGAATTTTTGCTCACACTATGAAGGATGAAGAAAATAAAATTGTATCGATGAAATAGGACCATATTCTCAATTCCTGGGTGAAGTATTGAAAATTCATTGATCTCATTCCGAACATTTTGTTACTCAGAATCATCTCATATTGGGCCAGCGTTAGCATTCGACAGGGTCTGGCACGACGGACTACTGACCAAAATGACAGACTACGGGTACCCGATATCTATGGTAATGCTAAAAGCCTCCTTTCTGCGGGAAAGGCGATGCCAATGTGAAGTTGGCAACGAAATCTCTGCAGAGAGGGAGCTAGAAGCAGGAGTACCGCAAGGTGCAGTCCTTTCACCACTACTTTTCTTCATTTTTACCGCAGATATTCCTAAATCCGCGAACAACTTCAACAAACTCGCACTATACGCCGACGACACAGCCATAATTGCCAGATCCAGTAGCGCAGACATGACAGTACGATACCTACAAGAACAGATCGACACACTAGAAACCTGGTTCAATAACTGGAAGATAGAAATTGACGCAGAGAAAATCCAAGCTGTTCTCTTCACTAGACGACGTACCAAACCTACAGGACAAGTAATACTAAACGACATACAGATACCATGGGCAGACGAGGCAAAATATCTAGGGGTAACCCTAGATAACAAACTCACTTGCAGACAACACATCACAACCCGACTAAACCTGGGTAAAGCCGCAAGGCAAAACCTACAGCCTCTAATAGGTCGCAGAATCAACATGGCTCTAGAGTTGAAGCTGCGCCTGATAAGAACCATTCTACTTCCAAGAATTTTGTATGCATCAAGTGCATGGGGCCAATGAGCAGAAACATACAAAAAGCGAATACAGGCATTTCTAAATGTCTCAATGAGAATGGCAGTAAACGCCTCATGGTATATCCCAAATATATTTATCTATAGGGACCTGAACATGAATCCTGACTACATAGACAACTACATAAGACAATACGCGGAGACTACATTCGGAAGAACGGAAACCCATGAGAAACCGCTTCTGCTCGACCTGACCAACAGACAATTAAATCAATACCCGCGCTTCGAAAGAATAAAGTACAGGCGCCCAATTCATCAGATATAAGATAAAAGAACAGAATTGAATCAATATCAATAAAATTTGCGTAATAATCATCAGATAATTAAACAAAAGAGTCTCTCCTTTGATACACTTTGAAAAGTTAACCAATGATAATAAGACATAAACTCAATTTTGCTTCCCATTAGGGTAGGGAACAACCACGCAAAATCAGGCTAGGAAACACACATTAGACAAAAAGGTTCGAAAGTCGAAATACTGAAACCAGGTAAGGGGTTTTATAAAACATAATTATGCAGATTGCCTAATGCATAAGGTTGAAGTCCACTCGTTAGTGAGTGGGGGTGGATGGACATGAGGATGAGCGACACTTGATCCTGGGCATTCAACCTTCCGGGGGGCGTGGTGTGTGTGTGATCCAGCGTTATAACAACCAGCATCAAGTTCCTTCATCTGCATCAACAGCAGGGAAAATGTCTTTCCTATAGAATTGTAATCCAGCAGTATGATTTTCTGAAACCTTCATTTTTCAGCGTTATTTCAGAAAATTTAGAACCAATATTCTGCAGCTTGTTACAACTCATACCCATTGAAAGATGTATTCATTTTGCAAACTCGATATGACTGGGTTTCAACTACTTCAGGAACTTTCATATACAGCATGTCCCACTCGGAACAATCCTCTCCTTTGCCTCAATTAATAGTTTTCAACCCAATTTGGACTGGAATCAATAACAAGCAATATAATCAGTTTTTCAGAGACGAACATTATCTGAGAAATTTGTTATAGGAAAACTATCGTCATGGAGTTTCACATTTCTTCTAATAAGGGGTCTGAAAAAAAGTCATATTGCGCTGTTTTCATCCAGGAACTGCGACCTATAATGAAAACATTGCATCATACTACAAATGGTAGTGGAAGAAAATTCTCCATCATAGTTGGGAAGTATATTCAGAATTGTTTTCAAGTAATGAGTTCTATTTGAACACATTCTACTGTTCTTCATCACTTGGAGCGCAGGAAAGAATTGTTTGAAGAAAATCATGCGTGCTCAGGGAGGATAAGGAAAGGAGGTAGATAATGAATTGTTTTCAACTTCTGGAGGTTATTTGTTTTTGGCAATTCTTCCTTTGGGAACAAAAAATCTGAAGCATTGCCGTTCTACAGACGAACGAGTGATGGTGCAGTGTTGTTCGACATATCTCAAGGTTGACACGGAAGGGACATGCTGACTAAACTTTCGTCGATTTTGTCTGACACGTATTGCTAGTGATGGAATGATAGCAGGAATCTCTGAGGAACATTTCTCATGGAAGTATCTATGAAAAGTCGCCGACTTTTCTACGGTGTTCTGACGACGTAAAAGGACTAGTGAATGTGGCATAACCCTACAGGCAAATGAGCCTTGCCTGGACGGAATCTGAGAGCATCAGTGTATGTTTTTGTGGGTGCCACACTCTGTATGTGAGAACAGTATTCTTGAACTAGACATATTCGTGATTTGTTGGTCATGAAAAGCGGTTGCGGTGTAAAGTAGATCCTATGGAAACAGAATCTCATGAATATATATTATCACGATCTCATCAGACTACCAATCCAACTAAATGGTTGAAAATAACTTAGTGCTCCATTTAACATTCAGAAAGTATGGTCAGTGATCCTAATGGCTATTTTAGCTACTAGACTTCCAGCTGAACGGCTCTTGCCTCAACAGGATTCACTATTTAGATGTATCGATCGCTGAATCGGCGAACATTTAGTTGTATTTCACCTCTTGGTTCAAATGATTATTGGTAAATATGATGAAAAGAAGAGGGGAAGGAATCAGTGATACCAGAAGTTAATAACAAGAATCTTCTTAGCCTCTCATTGACCTCCGTTTTGATGTTTGTTTTCAAAATTCAGTTAATCTCTGTTCAATCCACTTCTGACATGACATTATTTCGATGAATGCGGAATTCAACTCTTCAGGAACAAAAATCAAATTGAAAATGTTTCATCTCAGATGACCAGGAACTCAGATTTTTCATTATCAGACTTCAAATATGATATTGAATCGTGAAAATTCTTTTGAAAAATTATAAATCTTGATTTTGATGGAATATAAGAAAGACTAATATTGATGTTGAACCAAAGATGACAGTCATTATATATAGCATGTACCTCAATCAGTTTTTTCGAGATTGGCAGAATGATTTTTCATTTCAGACAAGTTCATTATCTATTTGAATACGTATTCGAATATGGGTACTGACATTTCCCTGATCATACATCGAAATGTTTTCAAACTCTTCACTAAACGAAGATTCATTTCTAAAAAGCTTTTGTCTCTCATCAAAGAATTATTCAATTTATTGAATCCATTATATCAGATGCTTATTCAGAAATAATGTCTCGATTAGCTTCAACTCTGAGCAATATTCATCATACAGGACGTGGACGAAAATTCTGAATTGAGAAAACCTAACCACGCATCTGCGATTCAGATCTATGAAATTAGCAAGTTTCCATGGTTCAAGTTTGGACCCCTTGCTTGGGTGAAAATATTGAAAAGGAATATTCTCAGATATATTCATAAACGGAAGATTTTGTTTTCAAATTCTCATCGTGTGTGTTCAATGGATGTAATTCAATATTCGTCTTGGCATATAGCCAGGAAAGTAGTTGTTTTCTGTTGAACAAACCGAGAAAGAATTGATATTGTCATCACATGGAGAATGCGAATTCTCAATGTATTTCTCAATAAATATATATATATATAAATTTTTTTGTGTTCATGAATATTTCTGAAAATATTCCTTTCCTATAGAGAATTGTAAGCTGAAATTTAATTGATTCTTTTTCAATTTCCTCTCGTTTTAACTCGTTTGTCTCACTACCCTACCTACCTTCTCCTCTCGTTTCTCGTGTACTTTCTTTTTGTCTTGTCTCTCCCGAAAAATTGAGAGGAGTTTCTTTCTTTCGTATCATCAAGATGATACAAGATGAGAGACAAGAATCTCCCATCTAGGCGGCATCACTAGTTAATGAGGAGGCTATAGATTTCTCACTATTCAAGACTGATAAGGTGAAAAAATTTAATATTATATAATAGGAATGTACGACTTATTGGATCATTGGATCACAGGTGTTCTTCTCATGTTATGAAAGATTTCAGTTTGGAGTTGATGTGTTGGGGAATAGTAGCAACTGTAGTAGAAATAATATGAATTTTGATTTTAGTGATAACTGGATATTCCAGTCGTGGGTCATTCCCTTGATATTGAGGAGAAATGTGAGTTACCTGTGAATATGGATATGCATCTTGCGTATTGGTTCATCATTATCTTTTTGAGTATGACTGATTCCAGCAGAAGTCCATCAGACATCCTCAAATGATCTTTTTATGAACACACAAATATGTGGACAGCTAAATTAGGTTTTTGGATGCAAGTACACAAGGTAAGTGCAACCTACTATTGATGAATGAGAATTGAATCGGAAAACATTTCAGTACGAGTTGATAAAGATGGAAAAGATATCGTTATACCTAATGATATACGTACTATCGTTGTAGCAATACAATTGCGATTAATTGAACTTGTCAATACATATATCATAGAATGAAAAACTTTTAATGAATATACTCTGATGATTATCCATATCCATATTGGACTGAGTATTTATCATCTCCAGATAATGGATAGTATAAATTGAGTATGTCGACTCATATGAAACACACAATAGTTTCAGTGGAACAGTGAGAACTTCGGAAGAGTTTCTAATTTACTGAAGGCAAGTATATTTGTATCTTAGGAAAGTGGTTGATCTTTCGAGAAATACTGATTATTAGATCCAATAAATCCGATAGAAAGCGTGAGTTTTTCCAAATCAGTCACTGAATTATCAACAGGAATTTTCTCGGATATATCTGAAATTAATCGGAATTTCTCAAGTTTCAAAATGGCATTTGGTCTAGCAAAAAATAGTACAGAGAAGCACTGGAGTACTTGAAATGGTTCTGAGTGGAATCTTCTGAGTTTCCAGTATCTTGTAGAATTCGATAAACTGATTGCACCTGCAAAATCGTCGAAGTTTTTTGATGAACGGATCCTGAAATACAGGGCGATACATACAGAAATCGTTAATTTTCTTTCAATCATTTTCTCGAAATTCAAAGGTGTCGGGTATAATTTTCGGAGCTTATATCATTAACGTACCCCCAAATTACACAATATAATTCAGATGGTTCAGATTATACAGGGTGTCCGCTAAAAGGAGGTCAATTCATTAACCATATATTCCTTGAACGAAAACAATATGAGTTTCTAAATACCATTTTTCATTTTAGTCCTTCATATTCGATATACAGGGTGTCAAAGTTGGGAATTAAAAACTGTTTTTTTCTTATTACTCGCGTATTAAATAAGATATTAATCTCAAAATTCCTACATTACTATAACATAAAGAGTTACATCGTGTGAGGAAAACAAAACAAAGAATAACTGTCAAATATTCAAAGTACTGGGGGTCAAGTAAACACTTACCCCCATATTTTTTTGTACGTGCGCTCATGACTTCCTATTCATTTTTCTCCAAGAGTTCAATCATTTTTGAATTTTTCTTGTCTCTTGTGAAATTTCTATAAAATCATTTGTTTTTAAGATAATTCGAAATGTATTGGTAATTGTTTGATGCCTATGCGGCTTACGGTAATCTCATAATGTTTACATACTCCTATTTATTTTGTGGAAATTGGAAGAGGGCGTGAATTTTTACGTACGAAAAGGTGAATATGGAAATACCGGGTGCTCAGAGCAAATGTATTGAAATAATTTTTACTAAATCGCTCGATATGACCTCCAATATTTTGAATACACATGCGAGCCCTTTAAATTAAAAAAAATCTTTGCCTTTGAAAAATATGTGGCTTATACACAAAATCTTTCATTCATCCCCAGACAATCCTGATCTGATATTTCTTTCATCAAGTAGCTATTGAAATCATAGATATCATAATTTCACCTGAAATTTCCGAACCAAATTTCTTTAATTTTTTTCCGATTTAATTTTCCGTTCGTTCGCGCCCGACATACCATACGGGGGGGGGGTCTCGACAATATTTTTTTTTGATTCCGCAGCCCCCAAAACCACTCAAACCGATTTTTATTTTTTTTTTCAAATTCACGCCCTCTTTCAATTTCGACGAAATAAATAGGAGTATGTGAACATTATGAGATTACCCTCGAGATTACCGTGAGCCGCATAGGCATCAAACAATAACCACTACTTTTCGAATTATCTTAAGAACAAATGATTTCATCGAAATTTTACAGAAGACTAAAAATACTCAAAAATGATTGAACACTTGAAGAAGAATAGATAGGAAGTCATTAGCGCACGTACTAAAAAAATATGGGGGTAAGTGTGTACTCGACCCCCAGTCTTTTGAATACTTGACAGTTATTCTCTGTTTTGTTCCCCTCACACGATGTAACTCTTCGTGCTGCGGTAATGTACCAATTTTGAGATAAATATCTCATTGAATACGCGGGTAATTAAAATAAAACAGTTTTTAATTTCCAAGTTTGACACCCTGTATATCGAATTTGAAGGGCTAGAATGAAAAATGGTATTTAGAAACTTATATTGTTTTCATTCAAGGAATATATGGTTAATGGATTGACCTCCTCTTAGCGGGCACCCTGTATAATCTATCACAGAGTGGAACATGAAAACATTCCAGTGCATGATGTCTGACTATTCGATATTATGATGAGAAAGCGATCAAATTATTGAGGCATGCAATATAATATTCTCATTCAATCATGAATCACAACTCAAACATTTCATACACGGTGATTTGGCAAGTTGGTGATACTTATGACCAATTTATTCATAGACATCCTGTATATTCGATTGAATTGTTATCCTCTTGAATGGATGATATCGATGATACTCGAATTTCTCCTCTATTAAGGGGTAGGAGACGAGGTAAATATTCGAAATTCCAGAACGGACTCCGTCCTTCTCACTGAATATCTCCGCCTCGCTCGTTCGATAGGCGCATCTCATTGCCGCGAAGAAGACATACGAGGGGATGTCCAAGATTATGCGAGAGCGAAATATGGAAAAGTAAAGGGTCTTTAGATGCTGTGAGATAAATTGCCATGAGTTTCCAAAGCTGCTCTTCTGTATGATAGTTAGAAGGGTCATTTCATAACATGAATGCACAGATGCTGTTTTTTTTTTTAAGAAAATTACATCAAAATCCTCTTGATCAATTCACCATATTTCTCGACTTTTGACTGAAATAGGAATTTCCACAAGGACACAAGGAATATATTCATCGCAGTTTGCTGCATTGACCGATATGAGGAAGATGCTATTGAAAACTATAGGACAAATTTGATATACAGGGCGATTCATGGAGAGACTCACATAGCCAAATGGTGAATAGGGGAAAACAAAACAAGTTGAGATTCATATATGAAAGATTCTGTTGGCCATCGATAACGTAGATATTATGTGATTCATCCTAAGTTGCTGAAATTAGGCAGCGACGTTTCTTTATACAAGATGGCATATTATGCATGAATCTAGATTCGAATATATTCATGTTCTATTGTTATATCGAAGGAGTTCATTTTGTGATCAGTTTCCTAGAAAAATTTCATCAGATTCAGGAAGATCAGACATAATGCCATAAAAACTGCTCTACAATTTTCACGACACACTTTGATCGGTTCATTGAAAAATATGAAATAAAAACGTGCGAATGAATTTTCGATTCGGACTTCGCTGATAACTTCCTCATTTCAACTGGACTCATATGAATTGAATTTTCACTAATTTTTGTTGGATAGGAAGCGACAGAAATAAGTAGTTGATAAAAAAACATAAAACTGCTCTTTTGGTGATTTGAAATGTTCGTTCTTGATCGACATCGTGACTTGTTTCTCTTTACAAATATCAATTTGAGTAATGATGAAATAGTATAAGCGCTGTTTTTCATCATTTGACGTGACGTGACATTTGTTGATAATCCGAAAAGATGGATACTGGTGAAATTATTGCATGAAGATTTTCATACGTATTATCACGATGTTCTGAATATTCGGGATAATGCTGCTGGCAAATCCACGAGTCGGACGAGTGATATCTCAACACAATTGAGTTGACAATGAAAGACAAAATTATTCTTATGAATGAGCGGTTCATTCTGACGACAGATATTATCATTTTATGCCAAACTGACAGACTTTGCTCCGCTATCCATGGTTACATCGTTGAAAACACCAACGCTGATAGACCAATAAGAATTGATAGACCGCTTGTGTTTAAGTGATTACACACGTTGTGATGTGATTGATCAGATTATGTGATGAATAAAATTAGTATATTGTTTAACGAGCACAGCGGAATGATAGTGATATCCTACAAGAATGAAGTTGGCAGCATGAGCCATATAGGCGAATGCTGCAATCATTCGAGTAGGAAATATGCATTTCGTGCAAGTTATGCACTATAATTTTTCTACGGCTATAATAATTTTGCTACGGTTATTATAGATAACAGTGGCATTTTCGATTTCTTCGTCTTGTAACCATCTAAATAATAACACGATGGAGTCATTGTGATATACAAAGTACCTTATTGACGTATCGAACACAGTAAAACAAGAGCATTTCTATTATAGCCGTAGATAATAGTCAATTTCGTGAGCCCATAGATATTAAGTGATTTATCAAATTGTTTATGTCATCACTGGTGAACTGAGCTGCATTTGTTCTTGATACACTCCACAAGTGAAAAGGATGCATTTGGTATATCTTCAATATTCCTAATGTTCACCCTTGTTAAGGTTTTACTCCTATTCATATTCTTGGACCTTCAAACCTTCTATTGTATTGAACATTGCAAACATTTGAACTTCCGTCATGTTCAGCATTTGATCAATAAAGTGACATCTTGAGTGCAAGAATATTCATATTCCCAGAATGACACGTCACATCATGAAATAAAAAATAGGGCTAATTCCGATACAAATCCAGGAAATAGAAGCACGACTATAATATCCATCTAGAATTTCGATCAAGAACTAACATTTCAAATCTTCAAAAAATCAGTGTTAGTGATACTGTGCTTTTTTTCGTTCGCTTCTTTCTGTCAATTTTAATCTAACGAAAAGTGTACAAAAAATCAATTCACAAGAATCCAGTTGGAAGTACTGTTTACTTCATCAGTCAGGTCGAAATTGAAAATCAATTCGAAAGGTTTTGTTATATATTTCTTCATTGAACCGGTCAAAGTGTCGTGCCCTGCAAAATGAAGAGCAGCCTAATGGCATTTCGTCAGATCTTTCTGATTCTGATGGAAATTCTTGCGAGAAGTGATCACGAAGTGAACTTTCTAGAAATCAGTAGAACATGAATTTTTTCCATGTCCGGATCTGGATTTTTTCCATAATGTGCCATCTGGAATAATTTCGATAGGAAAACGTAGCTGCAAAATTTCAGCGAATACGATGAGTCATTTCTGAAATGGCAATTTGACATCGTAGTAAATGGTTCTATCATGATAGTTTTATACACTATTTTTTGTAGAACCACGAGTCGGAAGTGACAACTCTTATGGCTGGTCAGTATTTCCAATATTTTTTGACAATACGGGGAAATCTGAATGTAGTTATATCAATTTCATGAAATATCAACACGTATACACGAAAAGGATGAACTATATAAATATGAAAATATTGATAGGGAAATTTGACATTTGCGACTAAGAACTTTCAAATTGCATCTCATCAAAAGTGTTCATTACTACCCTGTGTATTATAAATGATGTGAATGATTTTCGTTATCCGAGCGAGAACACAATATGATCAGATCGACTATCGGTGACTTCGATGCATGTATTACGCTATGTAAGACTCGAGAACATATATAACCGTCATCGCATATCAACATAAATAAATATTTTGAATTGACTTGGCCATACCAGTATTTCACCTGATGGAGCTACTGTGTTAGCAAAACATGTCGTGTGTTTGGGAATTTTGTGAAAATCTTATCGGTTGTGGAGTTTTTACATGAATAGATATACCTACACTGGTACGTGCGCTTTCATGACGCGAGTCTGCCGGTTTACTTCCATCCCAGAAAGTGCCTAACGGGCCTATTGAAATTATCGCTTCGAGAATCAATTGATTTCTTGCTATATATATTTCAGCATTCTCCAACATCATAAGTACATGAATTGTATGACTTTTTAACGCATTCGCGTTGTCATTATAATTGCGATTTGGAATTAAATGTCTTGTTTTTCTATATAAACCATGATTTTCTACCTACTGGAGCTATCGAACGTTCCAGAATTTGCGGTTGATTAGAATTGATTATTTATTCAGGGCAGATAACGAATAGAGCATTTGACCAATTACTCATTCTATAGTGATTTAAAATTATTGAATTTTTGTACATGAAGGTTCGAAAACATGAGGAATAATAATGTAAAGTCAGTTTTCGTACAAAAACTCCTGATCCATGAAAGATCGACCCATTTTAATTTCAATAAAAACGCACGGCACGGCACTGTCCATAATGATGTTTTTTTTTCTGAAAAACTGATCATATTGGTAATTCATAATAGTCCAAATTTGGTGAGAATCGCACGGTTGATAGCAATAATAGCTGAGATATAGAGGGAGGGGAGCGTTTAAAGTGAGACATGCTGTATATAATGATATATATGAATCTATCAATTCGTCTTGACCCTTAACTCTGTTCTGCTCATTCAGCAAGTATTTCATGAGCCCTCCTCAGTATTGTCCAAAATATGTTCGAAATATTATCATCGCCTAATGATTATGATTTATATTTGTGCAGCTTCGATATCACACAATATGTCGGCGTGTGGCTGCGAGAGCACCGCCTACTATGGGCCAAATCTACATGAGGCCTGTCCTGGAGCCAATTTCATAGTGTTCATGTCATTAGTAGATGCTGTCGTTCGTAGTCTTTGCGACGTATCTCAAGTTTGCGAAAGAGTGACACCGAGAACAGTACCAGAACTAGAGTATGATTTTATAGTTATCGGAACCGGAGCTGGTGGTGCTACTGCAGCCGGACGATTGGCAGAGGAAGCTCGATGGAAGGTGAATAATTACTATTATAATTCATGAATGTGAAAAAAACGAATTCACTATCTCACGAATGCCACTTCTTTATTCCTATCTAAATTGGTAGCAAATTGGATATAATTGGTTCGAGTGCAACTTCATGAAAAAATTTCAAGAATCATCGTTTCCTAAAAAAAATTGTTTTAAAATTGTTCTATCCGTCATTCGGTTGCCCCATTACAAGCAACCCTCAGGAGTCTTCGAAAGTCTTGTGCGAGCAAGGAATGACGAAGGCCTTACCATTCAACGTGTGATCCTGAAACACTACATTAGATAATTTCGACTGATCGAATTCGAAGATGTTCTCGATTGACCTGCGTGGTACGAAGAAAAATCAGTCGGAGAACATGTAAATCATCTATATCTCAGAGTGTTCCCAGGTAATTTCGGTATAAAACAAAAAATAATACAATTCTGATGGTCATTTCCACTCTCATATGAAATATAATAAATCACATGTAACTGGTTCCGATACTACGACCATCATCAAACTGAATAACCTATTATCAATATTGAATTCAAGAAGTTCTGCCCCCCTTATTTGATACTTATGTGACCTCACAAAGTGATATCAATATCTAAACCTATCTGGAGCAGCTCTAATTCTAATAGGACGATTTCTTAAGGCATTTGTCAAATCAGAATTCTGCAGTTCCGATTGTTCATTGACAAGCGGGTTGTTTCCAATATCAATCAGATTTTCTCTTCTATAGTTTGAACATTGGGGATCACGGTTATTATTTTCCACGTTGTTACTTTGCGCTTCTGACTTATTTCCGTCGAAGTAATCGTCATTTAATGTGAAATAATCGTCACTACAGTATCTGATTTGATTGAAATGTATTTTCCAATTCAAATTAGATTTATAGACTTCCACAAGGCAAACATTTTTTTCCAAAAATTTTGCGATTCGTGCTTAACACCAACATGGTTTAACACCTCTGTAATCCCTAACATACACAATCTGATCTATATGAAAACTATTATCTCGGCTCCCCTTGTAAAATTTCTTATTCGCTTCTTGAGCTGCAGCTAAATTACTTTTCACTTCTATATGACTTTTGACACTTGAATTCATTTCTTTTGGCCTAATTAAATCTAAGCGGCTACGCAGTGACCTTCCTAAAAATAATTTAGCTGGCGATTCCCCAGAAGAACAATGAGGGGTGTTTCGATAGTTCAATAAAAACTTACAAAGGGACAAATTAGTATTTTTTAGCTGATTATCGGATATTTCTTTGAGTAAAAATTGTTTCACCGTTTTAACAGAGTTCTCAGCGGCTCCGTTAGAAGCGGGATTGTACGCGGGCGTAGTTACATGGTTAATTCCATTTGCTTTCATGAAATCCTGGAATTTCTCCGAAATCAACTGAGGGCCGTTATCGGATACCAACATTGAAGGCAAACCAAAACGGCTGAAGAGTTCTCGCAATTTCTCAATGGTAGCATTGGAGGTGATAGAATTCATGTGAAATACCTCCAGCCATTTTGAAAATGCATCTGTTACTACCAAAAAATATTTTTGTTTCAAGGGACCAATGAAATCTATGTGAATACGCTGCCATACTCCACTAGGTACAGGCCAGGGCTTCAAGGGTGTTCTTTCCGGAGTACTGCGAATTTTCTGACACTCAGAGCAGCTTTTGACCACCCCTTCAACATCCTTGTTTAAAGTTGGCCACCAGACGTATGACCTTGCGAGCGATTTCATTCTTACGATACCGAGGTGACTGTTATGTAGCTCTTTCAAAATAGCCTCCCTCAACGACGTTGGAACAATCACCCTGTGTCCCCAAAGCAGAATGTCTTCCTCTGAATTTATCTCATACCTCCTTTTAAAGTACGGTTTGATGTCATCATTTGAATTTGAAGGCCACCCATCTTTAACATTCGCCAAAATATCTTTCAAAACGGGATCCCGAAGTGTCTCTTGCCTTATTTGAACTAAATCTATGGGTAAATTTGGAGCATTGGATAACTAGTTCAAATTCACGTGAGAACCCTCGAATTCTTGCAAGTCATCTTCCGAAAAACTTATTTCTTCTTTATGTGTTCCGCTTTCCTCGACCGGTAGTCGCGACAAAAAATCAGCAATATTTTCCGACGTATTAACATATCTAATAGGCGGCAACACAATAGCACGAATTCAGTTCAAATGTGGATAAAAAATAAATATAACATTGAAATAATGTGTACCAGTAGTTTTTTCAACAATAAATGCTGTCATTATCCAAAGAACGCGTTTTAAAAACCATACAAATTTGTGCACCATTCAAAAAACCAATAATGGCGGATACGTGATGACGTAACAAGTATTGGCGTGCATTTGGCAACGCTGTACCACAGATTACCAAATCTGTGACTGTACCTTCAAAATATTCTAACATATTTCCTAACCTAAGAAACCGAACTCCTAAACATCAAAACATCAGAGTTTTTCTGTGATTTTTCATTTGCTCAATATTTTCTTGTGTAATCAAAATATTCAAATCATTGTGACTATTATTGTGACATAGTCTGATGGTTCATGTTTATTGATTGGAGATATGAAGCCAGTATTCAAAAAAGCAATAACAATCTTTCAGTAGTTGATTCAACTATGGTTTTCGAATTCTGCAAGTTCAAATAACTGGCATGAGCTGTTTCATAAAGGTGAAGATTAGTCCAGAACATAAAGTTCGTCCTACACCATAAAGGGTTGAGGCGAGGGTTGAGGCTGAAAAAACTGTAGTCTGGTTTGTGCAGTTTCAAAAGGTAAAAGGTACATAAATTCTTGACTTTTTTATAAACTGTATTCTTTTATATTCTTAGGTAGATGTAAACACAGTGTGGCTTTCTTATTATGGTTACATGGAAGATCAGAAGAACCCTCTGTACCTTCTATGGAGTGTTACTGAAAAGTGTCCAACTAAGTGTCCAAACTACCAAATTTTTGAGCTTCCTATCAACATTCATGCCACTTGTAGAATTAAGCACCAAAACAAGTTCCTACCCTCCCAGTGGTTTCATCAAAATTTCTTGAAGAAGTTTTTCAAGTAGATGGGAAACATGGATGCCAAGGATAACTGTTTTTGAAAGAGTTTGATTCTGATTCATAAGCTAATTATTTTGTCCAGAAAACATTCATCCAATTTGTCTCCTGGGGGATTCCAAGAGTTCATTCATCATCAGAATATCAGTGACAGTGATTGTGAATTGGTGCAAGATATAAAAGAGAATCAAAACAAATCATCACTATCAGCATGGTTTGAAGTTTGCTGTGGAAGAATTACTGCTTCAAAGCTATGAGGCACAAAGTGCAAGACATGCGAAGGTTCATTAGATGAGCAGGAAAATTTTGAGAATAATGGTAGTTTTCAGTTACTTGAAAATTTTTGGCAAACTGTTATTTTCACCCATTTAATAAAATTATAAAATATCAGTACTTTTTTTCTTCTCTTATTCCAGAATTGGACTCATTTAAGCTCACCAGTGTCTTATAAATAACATATTTTATCATACATAACTTCAAAATCCCTTCTCATATTGATCATACACTATACCTTCACAAACTGGAGATGGTAGGTATATGAAATTCATGTTTACTTCTTGTCGAACAACCTAGTTATTCATATTTTATTGTCAGTGGAATATTGGTAAGAAAGACCAATACCTATCATTACACCAAAAAAGTAATGAAAGTAGTAAGAAAAAAATCCAGTAAGTATAAACCACGAAAGCACTGGCATATTTAGGAATGATGGAAGATGCAACATCAATTCTCAATGCGAAAAACAAAATCATACAAGCCAAAATTACTAGATAGGTATTGTCACTATTTCATGTGGAGAAAATTTGTCAAATGTAAACAAATAGGTAGTACACAGAAATTATCGAATGCCCCCATCTTCAAAATGAAGCAAGAATGCTCAAGAATGTTGGTGGAAATTTTCATTTATTGTCCACTTTATGCAGTAGATATAATTAGAACAGTTAAATATCAATAGACCTCCTGATAGATATATTTTATTTCTGAATATTATATCAATATCTTGTCCAGATCATCACAAAGTTTGCAAGAAAACAAATAATGATGGTAAAAATCACAAACATATTTGTATATCAATCAGCAACAGTCCTGAGTCATTTTATCACAATATGTTATGGGACTGTCAATTTGGTTCTGGTTCACAGTATTTGATCTCAGTCTCTTCCATATGACAGAATCCTTTTCAGGATCTTCAAGAAAACTTTCTTCAACTAAAACACTCACTGGTACTTCCAAGAATTTTCCTCAAGGAGAGTCAATATGATTTGAGGGAAGTTCCATTTTATCTTATCTCCCAAAATCTCAAGGGATTATTGAGATCTCCTTTTCCGTGCTGAAGATGAAAGTTAGGATTTTGATGGGTGTTTTCTCAGTTTTGGACGTTTGAGTTTTAATTCCACCCAGTTCATTATGTCATATTCAAGCTAGAACAAAATGAGTATGATCAATCCATATCGAAGAAAAAAATTCTACTCACATCAAAACGATCCTCACAGCAAAATATATCATTTGATTCCAGGTATGGTTTATCCCTCTGTTTAGCCATATACTTTGTTCAGTGTTGATTAAGCAGGATGGAACCAAGTTTGTGGCATTTCCTTACAGCCACTGCCATCCCAGAAATGTGAATCAACGTTGATGAGAAAAAATAAATAATTCGATGGCACGAATAAAAATAATATTGGCCGACAAAAAGAAATAAACAATAAAATAAAATAACAACTGACAGTAGTGACAGATGAACGAATCGTCAACTGTCCACACAGTCAACAGTCCAGGAAGATATCAAGCGACGTTGCCGGATCACCGTCTAATACTTGTCACGTCACATTAACGCGCGATATTCCAACTCGTTTGAACGGGATCAATACTTTGCAAATTTTTTGTGGAAAAACTACTTCGAATAAAAATCTGAAAAAAATACCTGAGACTTTTTTCGTCATACTAA